GCGTTGTGACAAACACCAGATACAGCACTGGGACTTGATCAACAGCCGATACCGCACCGTGACGTCACAAACCAGTAGGTGGCAGCAGTGTTCTTTGACAAACATGGATGCCTCCAGTAAAGCACATTCACATGAAAATTACTCTGAATTAAAAACACTGATCATTTATTAAACAGGATGGAATAATTTCAGATTTAAAGGACTTTCAGAAGTTTGAATTTTGAATATGACTTTTCTTTTAAATCGGCACGAAAGACACAAAAAACGTCTTTGCTGCATTAATAAAATATTCAAAAGCTTCTTCAGAAGGAGAACAAAAAAAACAGAAGAAAAGCTACAAAGATCAGAGTCCAATAAAGGATCAGCCTTTCCCTTTCTGCTGCAGAGCCGTGGATCATTTCAGCTTAGTTTATATTTACCTAAGCATAGGAGGGATTCCATATCAAGATTAGATGATGTGATTGTGAACATGTGAAGCATGCATGGGGCTGTGTATTATTTTTACTCCTTACACTGATCCTGCACAAATTGTTAATTTCCTCCTAACTTTAAAAGGAGATGGTTATAACATTGTTCAAATGTTCCACCTTCCCAGATACATTTGAAGATATGAAACAATGTGGACCTCAGGCTAAAATTTCAGAGGAAAAAATGGTTTAGTAAAAATTCTCACATGCAGTTGGGGTAAAAATAAAAAAAAACCCACCAACAATTAAGAGGATTAAGTTTTGTGATTGCTATGATGTTCCAACAATTATTCAGAAATACTTGTAACCATGGCAGTTCTTTTATTCAAATTAAAATCAAGAATCTCTTAAATAACTACACAGAGACATCACACAATATCTGACTCATTGATCCCGTAATGATGGACAGATAGTTGAGCTCTACCTCCTGCACTCTATTTACTCTCTCAGGGAAACGGCTGTTCCAACCGTTTCATTTCCGAATTCTCCCTAGTGGTGTCCGACTTTAAATAAACGGGACTGACGATGTTGTGGAAGAGGACGCCAGGGCGGCAGAAGCTTGGTTTGGTGTAGAAGGCTTCCAGCCATACATGTTTGAGCCCTTGCCTCGCAACGCTGCCAGTTCTGTTAGCTCTACGCCTGCTGAAGACACAGACGTCCATCCCCGTGAACACTGGGACGCAACTCAATGGGAAAGGAAAGGATTCTGATTTCTGATTCCAACCGTTGCGTATATTAGCTGCGACATATTAATCAAGATGCTACGACCGAAAACATTTGATAGACTGTTGACCGTTGATAAATGATTGGCCGAATTTAGGTGTTCAGGCTGACGTAGAACTAACTGGCCTGCAGAAGATAACGAAAACCCCCCACAGATTTTAAGACGAGACATTTTTAAATAGATATTTTAAAAATGTTGGGACAATATGGTCTGATAAAGAGAACATTTATATACATGTTTAAGCCAGAATGATTTGACATTTAAATATGATTTCCTTAAGACTTTCAAAAGTTCAGAAGTCTAAACTCTGGGTTCTGGTACTGTTAGGAATCCAGTTTGTGTGGTCTGTTTTTATGTTTCCTTCTCTCCACCACCAGGTGGTGCCCTGTTGTCATTGGGCCTCCCTGCACACCTGCGGCTCATTATCTGGAGGAGTACTTGAGCAGTGGGCTGTCACTACCTCGTGGCCAGTTTTGGGTACTCTAGCCAAGCTGATATACCTGAGTCTAACCTAGCTTTGTTTCTCTGAGTCTAACAAGTTTTTTATCTGTGCTTCCCGGCAGGAAGCTTTCCTGTGTTAGTGGATTCCTGGACCTTCTCCCCTCTGGAAGGAAAAACCGAGTTACACTAAGCAGGGGAAAACTTCCACATGTTCTGTTCAAGTACCAATCAGAAATCCAAGTGACAATCCGCTCCATTACTCCTCCGGGTTGTCTACCTGTCCACCCTCCAACGTGTGCACTATTCTCTGGATTTACCACATAGACTGGATTCCGGGACTACTTTTATTTATTTTTATTTTTATTTAACCTTTATTTTACCAGGAAGTCCCTTGAGATAAAATCTCTTTTTCGAGGGAGACCTGGCCAAGAGGCAGCGGTACAATAAGACATATAAAAACACATAAAAACAACATAATAAAATCAATCATAAACTAGACTCTAGAATAACAGTTACAATTCTCTGTGCAAGCGGTTTTCAGTAGTGATTAAAAATGCTGTAGCGGAATAAGAGTTTTGAATATTGTGCCACGACCATGGTGCTGCATAGGAACATGATGTTTTGCCAAGGTCTGTGTTGATCCTGGGAATAGTGAAAAGAACACGACTTGAAGAGCGTGAGTTGTAACCACTGCTACCTACAGACATGAGGTGACACATGTATGGAGGGAGTTTACCCAGATGGCCTTGTAAATGAAAGTAGGCCAATGATGTTGTCTTCTGAGGCTTAGAGAGGGCCATGAAACCAGAGCATACAGTTCACAATGATGAGTCCTGAAGGCAGAGTTGGTGATGAAACGTAAAGCACTGTGATAAACTATGTCCAGAGAGTGGAGAGCTGAGGAGGCAGCATTCATATATATGATGTCTCCATAGTCCAGAACAGGAAGGAATGTGGTGTGAACAAGTCTTTTCCTCACTGAGGGAATCAAAGAGGATTTTTGTCTGTAGTAAAAGCCGAGCAGGGCTTTCAGCTTTTTTAACATTATTTAAATGTGTTGTGAAAGACAATTTGTCATCTATCCAGATACCCAGGTACTTATAACAGGACACAATCTCAATTGCTTCTCAACTTAAGGTCTTAATGCCGTGATGCTGTGAGTTTTGGGAGCGAGTTTTAGAGAATGTCATGAATTTTGTCTTTTTTACATTTAGGACCAACTTCAGCTGATTTAGGGAGACCTGAAGTTGATGGAAAGCAGACTGAAGATCATTCAAGGCATTGTTAACTGAAGAGGCAATTGAATATATTATGGTGTCATCAGCATAGAGGTGAAATTTAACAGATTTCAAGTTATTTCCAATGTCATTTATAAAAAATAGTGAACAGGGCAGGTGCCAAAATTAAAATTGAGGAACTCCCTTAGTCACTTCCAAAAAGTCAGATTTAAGTCCGTCCACGTAGATACATTGTGTTCTGTCTGAGAGATAGTTTTTAAACCACTCTATGGCAGAGTCACTTATTCCAAGCTTGCAGAGTCTGGCTAAAAGTAGTTGGTGGTTGACAGAGTCAAATGCCTTAGACAAATCCACGAAAAGGGCGGCACAATAATGTTTTTGTCTAAGGCATTTATTATATCATTTAAAATAGACACAGCAGCTGTTATGGTACTGTGACCTGCTCTAAAGCCTGACTGAGTTACACACAGGAGGTTGTTGACTGTAAGGAACTGTTTTAGTTGGGAGTTGACTTGAGATTCAAGAATTTTAGCAAGTACTGACAGGTTTGATATTGGTCTATAGTTATCCAGGCCTGTTGGCTCCCCTCCTTTTAGTAGAGGTAAAACGTAAGCAGCTTTCCAAATTTTTGGAATACAGTTTAATTGTATGCTTAGATTAAAAATGTGAGCAATAGGTTCTGCAATAAACTCTGCCGCCAACTTCAGGAGATAAGGGTCTAATCCATCAGGCCCAGGGGACTTTTTATGGTCTATGGTCATAAGTGCTTTCTTAGTTGCATCAACAGAAATGGGTTGAACAAATTTCCCGCCTATAAGATAAGTTAAGAGGCTTGAACCAAACTCCCATGGTGTTTATGCCTGGACATGTATAAAGGATCTACAAAGCTTCTTCCGAAAAAAAATATGCTCAATAGCAGGTGTGGGTGGCCCCAGACTCGCCCTAAAAGGCAGTGGACAGAAAAAGAGGCACCCCAAATCACTGAGATATAAGGAACAACAGAGAAGGGAAGACGAGAGCACCTGGAGCCCGACACCTGAGGGGCCAATCCCTAAAGGTGCCCAGTCCCTGAGGGGCCTGACCCCGGAGGCCACAGTGATGAGGTCCCATGGGGCTTGGCACTGCTTGCGCGCTGCACAAAGCATTCTGAGATATATCTGCCTCTTCTGAGGCCTTTTTTTTCTTCTCATACACTGGCGCCGAAAAAGATAGCTAACTGGACGAGCAGGTAGGACGGCCTTACGTAAAACATATCATCAGAATGACTGACGATTAGGAGGACCACTTATTTAGACTATCCATCCTGAAATAAGAGATCGTCCTCTATACCTTTAAATTAACCAAAATCTATCTGAAAAACAGACATTTGAAAGTAAAACTTTAAATAACAGAATCTGTGAAAAGGAACCTAAAAAAAATTTTTGGAGACAAAATGGAGAAAACATAAAAGGGACCTCTAAACCTTTTCTTGATTAAAAAGTTTTTCCAGGTTTAATTTCTTATTTTTAATTTAGATTTGTTTACAAGACCTGTTATTTGCTTGCAACATACTTGCTTGCTTAGAAGTTTATTGCTACAGTCTGAACAACCCTGGATTTCTTACACTGCAAAAACGATCTGAAATTAAGTAAAAATGTATTAAATCAAGTATTTACCCTTAATTTGAGCAGGAAAATAAGATAGTTTGCCAATGGAATGAGTATTTTTACACTTAAAATAAGATAATGAGAAAATATGCACTTAAAATAAGATTAAGCAATAGTTTTTTCTTATTTCAAATGTAAATTATTTTTTTTTCCATTGGCAAAGTGTCTCACTTTCCTCCTCAATTCAAGAAAAAATGCACTTATTTTAAGAAAAAAAATTACTTATTTAGATTTACATTTTTTGCAGTGTACAACAGGGCATTTTATCTGGTAGGGATATGTTAGGTTTCTGGGTAGTTTGGACTCCTGAGATGGATCAAAATAAACACTAACTGAGTCTAAGCTGATCAAAAAAACAGAAGATCCGTCTTTTGATATGACAGGATTTTTATAAAATCCACTTTCTTATTCTTTATTTGGAAATTTTGTGGATTTTTTTCTTATGAATGACCTTTAGGCCAATTTTAAAAATAAAAAGACTCACCTCTCATGGATGAACAGAATCTATTTCTGGTGAAAGGCAACTGTTCTGCTGGGAAAAAAAACAACAACAAGAGAATCAACACTTTATGATAGAGTATTATTTTTTCAAACATTATATTTAGATTTTATTTTTTCCAGAACGGTTGAGAAATTAAAGCTGCTGTTTAATGTATAGAAAAGCGGTAGCTGCTCCTGTTCTTGGATAATATGTTAGTAATATGTTTTGAGGTTCATTTAAATATTAAAACATTTTGCCAATGGCATTATAAACATAACAACGCAGGTAAACTGAAGCTTTGGAAATGTCAAAAAGGACAGGAACATTTTTATTGGGTTAAAAACTGTTTTAAGCTTTATGCTGGTGAAGTCATCCAGGTCATTGTCATTCCAGAAAAGTTAAAAAATCAAACCAGTGGACTTTATTTCCAAGTTTGAAGACGTTTCTCTTCCATCCAGGAAGATTTTTCATTTCAAAATGTCAGAAATAGCGTTGAGTTCCAGGTTTTATCCAGCAGCCCAAGAAAGTCTTGTTTTAGTTTAGAAAACATGCAAATACAAACGGATGAACGGGTCCATCCATCCCTTTGGAATGGGGGTCGTTTGGCTTCTTTGTTAGCCTGCAATGCCCCATACCTGCCTATGTCTCTGAAAGGGGGGTCGTTAGAGGGAATTGTTGTCCTGGCTAAATAGGTGAGGTCTTCTGTTTCGCTGTAAAGGGGTGGAGGGGAACAGAAGAAGAAAAAGCTTCCTGGATGGGAAGTGAAACGTCTTCAAACTTGGAAACAATGTCCAGTTGATTTTTAAGTTTTCATGTGAAAACCTTGGCAATGTGTTAATATTGAGTCAGCAGACCCTCTTTATTTATAAGACGTTTCCAAAGTTTCATGAAGTTGTTCACACACCTCATGGTTGTTGGCGTCATCCTGTCGGTGCTCTCCTTCTTCCTCCTCCTCCTCGTCTTCAGCTTCGCTGCTCTGTCTCTGCTCCTCCTCGTCCTCCAGCTCTGAGTTGGTCTCCTCCCCTCCCTGCCATGCCTCCTCGCTCTGACACTCCTCTGCTTTGATCAGATCTGCATCAATGCACAAAGAAACTCAAGATGCAACATGGATTTGGCACAAGAACATCTGCAAAGCAGACTAAGTAAACACTGAAATGTGATAGCTGAAGCACATTTAAAGCAAACCCGCGTTTGCTGGTGGAGGTTCTCAGTCGTCCAGGTCATAGTCATTCAAACAAGTTAATAAACAAAACACTGGACTTGTTTCCAAGTTTGAAGACGTTTCTCTTCCATCCAGGAAGCTTTTCAATTCAAAATGTCAGAAATAGCGTTGAGTTCCAGGTTTTATCCAGCAGCCCAACAAAGCCTTGATTTAGTTTAGAAAATATGCAAATAGAAACGGATGAACGGGTCCCCCCCTTTGGAATGGGAGTCGTTTGGCCTCTTTTGTTAGCCTGCGATACCCCGTACTTGTCTATGTTTTTAATTTTAATTACTACTTAAAAAAAACTACATGTTAAAGATATAACCTTTGAAAAAGGTTTGATAAAACAAACTAAACTGTTCATCATTTATTCTTTATGGTACGCCAGCATTCAGAACATGTAGGCCAATCACTGTCCCCCAGACATCCGCGGTAATATTTTTTATATTTATATGTTTTTAAAACAAAGCAGAGTGTGTATGACGTCAGACATATTTGCACCAGAGTGGTACCTCTTGTCACAGTTACTCAACAACATAAGCGATGCATTAATGACAAAGAATATAGTATGAATTGTATCATGTATAATGTATCATATCAAATTAAACTGTACAATCTAGGCTACAGTCCAGCACATACCTGTTTAAAGTAAGCAAAACACAATAAATTTACATCCAAATGAAATAAAACGTAAATAGAACGTAAATACATGGCACAATAGCAACTTATGAACATTGCTGTCTCCAGAGCCACAATCCTGCATCAAACCACCACAAAACACACAGAAAAGCAGAGATCCCATAGAATCCAGTCATGTGCTTCACTTTCCACTAAACCAAAGCATTGCATAGATACAAGCCAAAAAGCAAGAAAGTAAACTGCTTAGCCAGAAATCTTTCCTGTCTGGATCTTGAGACAATCTACAGCCTCTAACAATTTCATTAATGCATGATTCACCGAAATCAACCGATCCGTTGTGGAGTTTTGACCCTGCGTAACCACACACAGCCAGCTGCTGGGAAACTGTGAGGGCACAGATACACTATATTGCCAAAAGTATTTGCTCACCTGCCTTGACTCACATATGAGCTTAAGTGACATCCCGTTCCTAATCCATAGGGTTCAATATGACGTCGGTCCACCCTTTGCAGCTAGAACAGCTTCAACTCTTCTGGGAAGGCTGTCCACAAGGTTTAGGAGTGTGTTTATGGGAATTTTTGACCATTCTTCCAGAAGCGCATTTGTGAGGTCGCACACTGATGTTGGACGAGAAGGCCTGGCTCTCAGTCTCCGCTCTAATTCATCCCAAAGGTGTTCTATCGGGTTGAGGTCAGGACTCTGTGCAGGCCAGTCAAGTTCATCCACACCAGACTCTGTCATCCATGTCTTTATGGACCTTGCTTTGTGCACTGGTGCACAGTCATGTTGGAAGAGGAAGGGGCCAGCTCCAAACTGTTCCCACAAAGTTGGGAGCATGGAATTGTCCAAAATGTCTTGGTATGCTGAAGCATTCAGAGTTCCTTTCACTGGAACTAAGGGGCCAAGCCCAGCTCCTGAAAAACAACCCCACACCATAATCCCCCCTCCACCAAACTTTACACTTGGCACAATGCAGTCAGACAAGTACCGTTCTCCTGGCAACCGCCAAACCCAGACCCGTCCATCAGATTGCCAGATGGAGAAGCGCGATTCGTCACTCCAGAGAACGCGTCTCCACTGCTCTAGAGTCCAGTGGCGGCGTGCTTTACACCACCGCATCCGACGCTTTGCATTGCACTTGGTGATGTATGGCTTGGATGCAGCTGCTCGACCATGGAAACCCATTCCATGAAGCTCTCTGCGCACTGTTCTTGAGCTAATCTGAAGGCCACATGAAGTTTGGAGGTCTGTAGTGATTGACTCTGCAGAAAGTTGGCGACCTCTTCGCACTATGCGCGTCAGCATCCGCTGACCCCGCTCCGTCAGTTTACGTGGCCTACCACTTCGTGGCTGAGTTGCTGTCGTTCCCAAACACTTCCATTTTCTTATAATACAGCTGACAGTTGGCTGTGGAATATTTAGGAGCGAGGAAATTTCACGACTGGATTTGTTGCACAGGTGGCATCCTATCACAGTTCCACGCTGGAATTCACTGAGCTCCTGAGAGCGACCCATTCTTTCACAAATGTTTGTAAAAACAGTCTGCATGCCTAGGTGCTTGAATTTATACACCTGTGGCCATGGAAGTGATTGGAACACCTGATTCCAATAATTTGGATGGGTGAGCAAATACTTTTGGCAATATAGTGTATGTGTGTTTGGGTGGATGTGTGGATGAATTTACAAAGAGTTACCCAGAACCTTGGGATTAAACTCTCCTCATCATTTATATACCTGCCTCACTGTCTACTTGCTGCCAGAATATAAACTAATCTCTCTACTTCTATGTCTTCCCAAAAGTTTGTTACTCTTCCCTTTCCTGTCATTCAGCCTCATTGGAAACAAAGCAGCTTCTGGCTACATCTGATTGGACAGGTGCTAGCCACGTCTGACCTTCCCTTCCAACGAAGTCTAGCCTGGTGCTGTCAGCTACTCCAGTTCAAGTCTGCCAGACTCAGCCTTGATCTTCTCTAAGACCTGCCTGCCTTCCCTTTGTCGGCAACAGCGGCATCTTTGTCAATAAAAATGTCTTAAATTAAGCATATTGACCCTTAATTTGAGTAGGTAAATAAGATTTGCCAATGGAGGAGATTTTTTTACTCTTAAAATAATATAATTAGATAATATGTACTTGAAATAAGATGATGCAATTGTTTTTTCTTATTTTGAATGTAAATTGTCTTGTTCCATCCTCATTTCACTTTACTGCAACACATACATCCATTCTTTGAAAACAAGGTTAGACTCATTAAAGACGAAACGAGGTCACATCTTTATTGCCATTGAGCACCCAACTTCCTCCTCCATTTGTGACCAATCACAGCACCCTCATGTTTCACTCTTTAATGACACATTTGACTCACGTTTTACTACACTATAAAGGCTACTGTTTATCAACCTATCATTAAAAAATGAAGGTGACGGATAAAAAAGATGATGACAAAAACTTTTTGACTTTCAGTCAAAGTCAAAAAAATCTACTGCCGCCTCTGAATTAAAGCCAATATAAACTGATGATATAATTAGTGGCGCAAGGTTATCCCCATCAAATTTAAAATGTGAGAGCAGGGCCTATCTTTCTATAATTATTGAGGTTAAAAAATGTTGCTCAAAAGTTTGTCTGGTCCTAGATTCAGAACTGGGACCACGGGATCAGACAGAGATCAGTTGAATTTCCTTAATAAACCATTTTAGTAGAAGGACTTTTAAAGTCATAGGGAAGTCATATTTAAATTTTAAATCATTCTGGCTTAAACATGTATATTAATGTACTCTTATTCAGACCATATTGTCCCGAAATGTAGATATTTTCAAAAAAAAATCCTTTCTTAAAATCTTCTGCAGGCCAGTTAGTTCTACGTCAGCCTGAACACCTAAATTCAGCCAATCATATATCAACGATCATCTGTCAATCAATTTTTTTCGGTCATAGCATCTTGATTCATGTGTCGCAGCTAATATACGCAAAGGTTGAAATCAGAATCCTTTCCTTTCCCATTGAGTTGCGTCCCAGTGTTCACGGGGATGGACGTCTGTGTCTTCGGCAGGCGTAGAGCTAACAGAACTGGCAGCGTTGCGAGGCAAGGGCTCAATCATGTACGGCTGGAAGCCTTCTACACCAAACCAAGCTTCTGCCGCCCTGGCGTCCTCTTCCACAACATCTTCGTCCCCGCTTTCCTCCTCTAAATAAAAAATGGATGACGGAGGAGACTCATCCACGACCTCCGACACTAAACTCTCCTCCTCTTGCATGTTTCCTCTGTCCATAGCGTTCCTTGACAGTGTAGTTTCTAAGTCACCAATTTAGTGCTACTTGGTCCCAATGGAATTTCCCATTGGGAACCTACTAGCACTAAGTTGCTAACTGGTTAGCAACATGCTTCCCACAAACCGGCCACAACCAAACGTGCTTGCAAACCTTCCACCACAACAATCCCGCCCCCTTGATAAACGACCAATCACATTCACTTTATTCACTTGTGCAAAGTGGTGCACCAGAGAATTCAGAAATGCAACTGTTGGATTTCTTTCTTTCTTTCTTTCTTTCTTTCTTTCTTTCTTTCTTTCTTTCTTTCTTTCTTTCTTTCTTTCTTTCTTTCTTTCTTTCTTTCTTTCTTTCTTTCTGTCTGTCTGTCTGTCTGTCTGTCTGTCTGTCTGTCTGTCTGTCTGTCTGTCTGTCTGTCTGTCTGTCTGTCTGTCTGTCTGTCTGTCTGTCTGTCTGTCTGTCTGTCTGTCTATCTATCTATCTATCTATCTATCTATCTATCTATCTATCTATCTATCTATCTATCTATCTATCTATCTATCTATCTATCTATCTATCTATCTATCTAATCCAGGCTCATGATGACTTGCAGCATCATGTCTCCTGCCGGGGTCCGAGCGCCACAGAATTTATTTGCATTCATGCCAATAAAATGTTTCTAATAGCGTCTTTTCTCCTTTTCTCTGTGCGAGTCTCTCCAGGTTGAAATGTCGACCAGCTTTAGTCATGGAAATCTGAGTCTTTTTTTATTTGACAAATTTGCGACCTTTTGACACCAGATCATTTCAATATTTTTTCCTTGCAAACATGTTAAATTCACCTGCAAATGTTTTGGACATGTACTTCTAACTTGTTATTACATCTACCATGGCCCTTATACTACATCTTACGTTCTCCCTGTTCCTACCAGATTTACAAACAGAACAATATATTACATTAAAAAAGTAAGATATACTCTGAAAAGTAACGCTTCATCTTAAACAAATAGCTTTAACCAAAGCAAGTCTAGAGAGGGGATTTTCTAACAGTTTGAGATGAATTGTTAGCTGGTTGTTTGACCGTCTCTAAAGGGCAGATGAATGACCTGCTGCTCAGTAAATCGTTCCTCCAAAGCGTCACATTACCGCGGTTAAAAGTTGTGGAGCTCAGTGTTTCTGGGTTAGAGGTTATCTGGGAGCTGCCAATATACTTTGACTTTGGAAAGCTTTGTGCATTATTGGGGCACCCCTGTGACCTCCTGACCCCTGCTCCTTATGTGCATATGATCACGACAATGAGGCTTCGCTCCTTTGCTGTTTATAGGTCGTCTAATGACACTTCAAAGGCCGACAAGTGGCTGTTTGAGTGGAAAAGTGGCAACCGCTGGAACGAGACTGGTTCTCATTATTCTGGGAATAATCCTCCCAACATGGCTGAGAATAAGGCCACTGCTTGAATGTTCCTCAGAGCTTTGAATAAAGGTTGGGTTTAACTGAAACTGTCAAGGCCCCACTTATGGTCATTTGAGTCTTTATAAAAACACCCAAACAGATGGTATTCTTCTCCTACAAGATCGTCCACATCCACTTCTGAGTTATTCTTAGTGGTGCATCAAAAAAATGTATTTCAAAGAAAATATTTCGAGTAATTTGATAAGTCTTAAAAAAAAAGAAGAAAAGAATCAGAGCTCTACATAAGGTCCTGCATGTAGAAGCTGCTGGACTCTCATAGAGACACAGGTTTTAAACCCTTTATAGGGCAAGTTACTGTTTTTGTTCACTAACATACCCCTTACAAATGGAGCACCCCCGGTCCCTCAGTGAGGTCTAGAAGCACAAGATCTATATCCAAGCATTCAGCAATGGCTGTACATATTATTTTGGCATTTGACCAATTAGATGAGCCCTTGAATGATATGTTCCCTCCTGTAGATAAATAAAAAAAAAAGGGTAAAAGTTGTAGGGAAGCAGCTGTTCCAACCGTTGGTGCACGAGTGAATAAAGTGAATGTGATTGGTCGTTTATTAAGGGGGTGGAATTATTGTGGCCGAAGGTCCGAAAGCAAGTTTGGTTGTGGCCGGTTTGTTGGAAGCATCGTTGCTAACCAGTTAGCAACTTAGTGCTAGTAGGTTCCCAATGGGAAATTCCATTGGGACCAAGTAGCACTAAATTGGTGACTTAGAAACGACACTGTCAAGGAACGCTATGGACAGAGGAAACATGCAAGAGGAGGAGAGTTTAGTGTCGGAGGTCGTGGATGAGTCTCCTCCGTCATCCATTTTTTATTTAGAGGAGGAAAGCGGGGACGAAGATGTTGTGGAAGAGGACGCCAGGGCGGCAGAAGCTTGGTTTGGTGTAGAAGGCTTCCAGCCGTACATGTTTGAGCCCTTGCCTCGCAACGCTGCCAGTTCTGTTAGCTCTACGCCTGCTGAAGACACAGACGTCCATCCCCGTGAACACTGGGACGCAACTCAATGGGAAAGGAAAGGATTCTGGTTTCAACCGTTGCGTATTTTATCTGCGACATATGAATCAAGATGCTATGACCGAAAACATTTGATTGACAGATGACCGTTGATAGATGATTGGATGAATTTAGGTGTTCAGTAGAACTAACTGGCCTGCAGAAGATAACGGAAAACCCCCACAGATTTTAAGAAAGGATTTATTTTTAAATAGAAATTTTCTAAATTTTGGGAAAATATGGCCTGATAAAAAGAACATTTATATACATGTTTAAGCCAGAGTGATTTGACATTTAAATTAGATTTCCCTACGACTTTAACAAGTAAAAAGAAAAGGTCAAAAGCTAACTTTTCTTTGTTTTTCTTTCTTTCCTTGTTATTACATTGACATTAACACTATTTGCTTGAAATTTTAAAATGTCAAAGTATTCCACTGATTGCCCTATAAAGGGTTAATGAAAGGCATTTATTGTTGTCTGTTATAGTGCTAAAGTATGCAGCCATGTTACCAGACCATTCAAGGTTGAAGGAGTCTTTGTTGTTCCTGTAGGGCAATATGTGGTGCAGCCAGCAGTAAAAAACAAACACTCACGGAGTCAACAATAAATTATAATATTAGTAATATATATTTGAAGGGAAACCAATTATTTCAGTCTGCAAGTCATTGATTTACAACTAAAGGTCGACATTTCTGCCGTATTTTCTCTGTGATTGGAAACAAAAGTTGTTTTTTTTATTTTTGCTTTGAATCCCGTCGCTCTTGCAAGTGTGCGTCACCTGTGGCAGTGATCCGTGCCTCCTCTGTGATCTGCTCCAGCCTGCCCAGCAAAGCCTCGATGTTGCTTTTGATCTGAGTCAGCTCCGACTTGATGGCCTGCAGCTCTGTTCCTTTCATGGCTGCTGCAGACAAACAAGGGGAGAAGAACAAATAAAATGGATGGAATAAAATAAACAATGAGCCACTTTACACATTTACTCTAGAGGACACATTCTCTATTATCCTAAATTATTAGGATATAATTTATCCCTGACCAAAGCCTTGTAAAGAGTCCAACAGCAGACACAACAGTTTAGTTAATCTGCATTGTTTGTACAGCTGTTGCTTTACCTTCTTTATCTCCACAAGAAATAAGAAGCTTTTAATGTCTGGCAGGAATCCGGTCATTAAGAAACTCTGGAAAAATCATCTTGATCAGTAAAACATGGGAAGTTACCATCTTTTGAAAAGATTGTTTTGTGATTTTATTTCTTGAAGATGCTGAAATATTTTCATAAGTCTAGTTCTGGATACTAAAGCATAAAAACGCCTTCATAAAAATAAAACTTAAAGGAAATGTAGTTTAAAGCTTCATTTATTTATCTTCCATTAACACAAAGTGATTTGTGTTTACTTAAAACTAATTAATTATATATATATATATATATATATATATATATATATATATATATACACTGCTCAAAAAAATAAAGGAACTCTTTGAAAACACATCAGATCTCAATGTGGCAAAAAATCTTGCTGTTTATTTCTACTGATATGGACTGGGTGATGTGTTAGGAACAAAAGGATGCCAGATCATTTGATGGAAATGAAAATGATCAACCTACAGAGGGCTGAATTCAAAGTCACCTCAAAACTTATAGTGAAAAAATGATGCAGCAGGCTAGTCAATTTTGCTGAAATTTCATTGCAGCAACTCAAAATGGTATTCAGTCATCTGTATGGCCCCCACATTCATGTATGCATGCCTGACGACGTCGGTGCACGCTCCTAATGAGACGACGGATGGCATCCTGGGGTATCTCCTCCCAGACCAGGGCATCTCTGAGCTCCTGGACAGTCTGAGGTGCAACCTGGCGGCGTGGGATGGATGGAAACATAATGTCCCAGAGGTGCTCTATTGGATTTAGGTCAGGCAAGCGGGGGGTGGGGGGCCAATCAATGGCATCAATTCCTTCATCCTCCAGGAACTGCCTGCATACTCTCACCACATGAGGCCGGGCGTTGTCGTGCACCAGGAGGAACCCAGGACCCACTGCACCAGCATAGGGTCTGACAATGGGTGCAAGGATTTCATCCCGATACCTAATGGCAGTCAGGGCTGTGTTGTCTAGCCTGTATAGGTCTGTGCGTCCCTCCATGGATATGCCTCCCCAGACCATCACTGATCCCACACCAAACCGGTCATGCTGAACGATGTTACAGGCAGCATAACGTTCTCCACGGCTTCTCCAGACCCTTTCATGTCTGTCACATGTGCTCAGGGTGAACCTGCTCTCAAATGTGAAAAGCACAGGGCGCCAGTGGCAGACTTGCCAATTCCGGTGTTCTGTGGTAAATGCCAATGGAGCTCCACGGTGCCGGGCAGTGAGCACAGGGCACACTAGAGGATGTCGGGCCCTCAGGCCACCCTCATGAAGTCTGTTTCTGATTGTTTGGTCAGAGACATTCACACCAGTGGCCTGCTGGAGGTCATTTCTTGCACAAAGGATCAGATAGCGGTCCTGCTGATGGGTTGTAGACCTTCTACGGCCCTGTCCACCTCTCCTGGAGTAACTGCCTGTCTCCTAGAATCTCCTCCATGCTCTTGAGATAGTGCTGGGAGACACAGCAAACCTTCTGGCAATGGCACGTATTGATGTGCCATCCTGGAGGAGTTGGACTGCCTGTGCAACCTCTGCAGGGTCCAGGTAGCGCCTCATGCTAACAGTAGTGACAGTGACCCTAGCCAAATGCAGAACTGGTGAAAAAGAGTCAGAAAAGATGAGGAGGGGAAAAAATGTCAATGGCCTCTACCTGTAAAACCATTCCTGTTTTGATGGTCGTCTCATTGTTGCCCCTCTAGTTCACCTCTTGTTAATTTCATTAACACCAAAGAAGGTGAAACTGATTAACAACCCCCTCTGCTACTTAACTGACCAAATCAATATCCCACAAGTTTAATTAGATTCCTTTAATTTTTTTGAGTAGTGTATATATAGGTGTATGTATTTTTTTCATCTGGTTCAGGAAATATTAATATAGTTATTATTATTATTGTTTTGTTTTTCTTTTTTTCCCCCCTTTTGGAAAGGATACTGGAAACAAGGAGACTATATATGCTATGAATTAATGAATGGAAAAAGGGGATGAATATATAAGTTAAACTTCATCATATTCCTTGTTAGAATCACAGTCACTGAATAACTTGTGCATTAACATGTATTTGAGTACGTAAATTTAATAGTAAGGTATTGTATTTAGATTTAGAAAACTGAAAGTATTTTTTTCCGTTTTGTTGGTGAGATGTCTGTCTGAAAAAAAGCACCATCATCATCATCATCATCATCATCATCATCATCATCATCATGAGGGAACTTTTGTATTGTTCTGTAAAATGTAATTAGAAAAAAATACAATACATAAAACTCAATCTGAGAAATAGAAAATTTTAACAAATAAAAATTTTAAATATATAAAATCTGTAACAAAATTGAAAAAAAAATTAAGCATAAAAAAAAAAATGGAAAAAATCTTTAAAAAGTAAAATCAGAGAAACAGCAAAGTTATCCACAAAACCTGAACAAAAAAGATACATTTTTTAAAAGTTTAACCCTTTAAAGCCCGATCCAAGAATAAAACAAAACAGAAAATTACTTTTTTCTTTTGGTTTGAAGTCCTTATTTGGCCTTTTAACGAAATATGCAAAAAGAAAAAACAAAAATACATTTTTGATATTAATAATTTATTACTATGCGATAAGTCAAGATTATTTTTTGTGTAGTCTTCTGCCCTCTGTTATCAGGTATATCTGATTGTGTACAATAGGATTTTGAGCAAAGTTTTTACCATTAAATTATATAAAAGGTGTCAGACGCAAAACATTTCAGAAACCGTATGTTGGGATCCAGAGGTTTGCCCTCCAGAGGGCGACGTGGATCCCTTCCTGTGTGCTTCTGTTACAGTTGGTATCCAGAGGCTTGCCCACCAGAGGGCGCCGTGGATCCTTTCCTGGGAGCTGCTGCTCAGCGCTCACACCTGATCCCCATCAGCTCTGTTGATTAAGCTCTCCCTACTCAAGCTGAGGGAGAGCTTCCCTCTGAGCCGGATTGTTGTCCTTTCCATGGTAGCAAGCCTGAGCCACCCTGCCTGTTAGAAACCTGTTAACCTGTAAGTCTGTTAACCTGTAAGTCTGTTAACCTGTAAGTCTGTTAACCTGTTAACCTGTACCAGAACCTAACCTGCTCTGTCCTCTCCGCCTCCAGGGCAGAACCCTGTGTTTCCAATAAATATTGGACTTTTAACCTGCCTCTGTGTCCGTGAGTTCTGCATCTGGGCTAGAAAACCTACCACATCATGACACCGTATGTATCAAATACGATATATTTGGCAATACAGGGTTAACTTCTGGTTTAATTTCAAATGTCTATGTATGAAACTTGTTCTTTTCTCACAGAAATAATGGAACAAAATTCTCCCTGTAAAGATAGAGATGTAATATGTGTTAATGAAGAGCACTGCTCCACTGCTGGGACCTGGTGAACCCTGGCTGAATGATGTGCAGAGACCCAGGACACCCCTTGACCAGCGGTTACACCACTGATGATCCATCCCAGTGCAACGTTTCATACCAACAAAAACAGATTTAAGAGCAGCTAGAGATCAAGTCCCAGAGCAGCTGCTGAAACCCTCTTATTACTCATAAATGTTAACACAGACCAGTTAAGCCACATTTCTGATTATCATCATTTTTTTTATTATGGTGGGAAAAAAGGAAGATTGCCTAAAAAAATGTTAAACTTACTCAACTCATGTCAATAAAAAATAAGTACTATAAGAGGGGAGATCAGTATGAATCATATGTCTATAATTCTGCAGTCATACAGTTTTCCTGAAGAGAATCCAGTCAAAATCTTGAGAAATACACTTGCTGACAAAAGCAGGTCAACAGGCAGAAAAATATGGTCTGATGAAATTATTAATGTGTGGCCTCATGCTGAGCAACTTCTCCTGCCCTTCCACAAACCCTCAGTCCTGAATCCATCAAACTGTACTTGCTGACAGCAGTTTGTCAGACTCTGACCTCTCCTTTACCTGCAGCCTCATCACTACACATGCACAAGATGTCAGCGTTTATCCCTGTAGTTTTACACGGAAAATAGACTTTAAACTACCTCAATGAGCGTGTATCCCTTTAGTCATGTACTGTTGTGGCTGCAGTGGGTTTCTCCACTTTTCCTTGCAGGGTTCTGGTTGCAGGCCTTCTGCAGGGGATCTGTTTTGCCCTAATTGGTGCTCGTCTGCTTTAAAAGCTGTCATGCAAGCAGCAGACAGGAGGCTTCTCTCTCTTACCTCCTCAGAACCCTGTTTGGCTTGGTTTGGTTTGTATCCTGTCCTATGGTCGGGTTTTGTTAGGTTTGGTTGCATTTGCTTATTTCTGTTTAGTTATTGGTTTTGCAGTAAGCCATTTTCTATTCCCCATTTTATTTATCACTTTTCAGATATTGTTTCTTTAGTATAATTTAATAAATTCAATTTTTACTTTAAAGAAAATCCTTGTGTGGTCTCCTTTAATGTTACCCCCACCAAACAAGCCTGGTGGAGGTAACAGTACAAAAAAAATTAAGGTCAGATCGCCATATGCTTCAAAAAACACCAATAAGTAATTAAATAGTTTTTTTGTACATGACTAAAGGGATACACGCCCGTTGAGGTAGTTTAAAGTGTATTTTTCATAGAAAAGTAAAGGGATAAATAGGTATTGACTATGGGTATTGTAACAGTAGTAACCGAGTAGAGCCTCTTTAAGATACTGTGGTATTGCTACGTGTCACTGCTTCTCTGTAGAGAACGTGGGAGACTTGTGATGCAGAGCGATACAGGTACTCAGACGGATGGTAATTCCCTATTTTTCTTTGTAATG